TATAATCCATTGGATGCGAAAACTATAGATAATGTCTTTGAATACCGATATTCGACGAAAAGTTTCTTATTCACGTTCGGAACTACGGATGCTGCGATTCCAAGTAGAATAGAAAGCACTGATAACTACTTCACTGCAATTCGTTCCACTCATGATGGTCCTTGTTTTGGGAAACGAGATCTTTTCTTTAATTTGAATAATCGGTCAGGGGTCTACGATTCAGAAATGTACACTGTGTCAATATTAGATAGACATTATTTTGAAATAGCTGAATTGGAAGTATTTAAGGTTGTGAAAATATAAGGTTTTTAATCCCTGTATGTTATCCAGTATAGCGATAGCTTTCTATTCTTAGGATAGCATAAATGCATTTACTAAATTTCCCCCAAGTTTTGATTGGACAATGGAAAATCAATCGCTGATTGGATGAAAAATAAAATGCAGCAAACCTTGATGTATTTGAAAAATTTTACAATAATCTGGATTTCAAATCCTTAATGATTTGATTTTGTCCAATCAGAATCACACGTTATTTAAATAGTTCAACATTGATATCTTATCGTTATCGGTATCTCAGATCCATGATTCTGTAAAATGATAAAATCTTTTTAATTCTATTCTACTGGTCTTTTTAGTGTGTTAGATGATTTTAAATTGACAAACACAATGCGAATTCGAACAATCGAAAAGTTGTGCACTCGTAAGGTCAACGCTCAAAAAAGAAACACTACGTCAGTTTTTATTACGAGAAGCTCTCCAATGCAAATTATTTATGGAAATCTTTTTACTTTTTATTTCTTGAAACAGGAATTAAGTTATTTGAAAGAAAAGTGGTGCGTATCATGAGTAATATGCTGAAAAATCTTATTTACGTTATCGCCATACATGTTTCATGTGCATAGGCTGGTTATCTTGCGTCTTGATGGGAAATGATGTTCGCAAGGCATTTTTCAATTTTTCGACGGGCTAATATCAGATATCGTTATATAATGTGGAAAGAAATACAATGAATTTTTATTTTCGTATCTTGTTTTACAAAAAGATGACACACAATAAATTGTGGTAGAAAGGAAAACAATTAATAATGATAAAATTCAAGGTAGACAGAGATCTATCATTCAAGGAAACAATGAAATCTTTGTTCTATTTCCCAAAAAAAATACTCACATATGTGTGGATAGGTTCGTATGCACTAAGGAGTAACTAATTTGATACAGCATTGATAGCTACATGAATTAAGTTCCCATTTGTCTCCTTAAAGTAAAGTTTACCTCATCAATGAATGAAGGAATTAACAACGATAGGCTGATTGATGCATATAAAAAAATACTCTTTGCATATTAGTACAGTATTATTGAATAGAATTAAATATTTACCACGTTTTTTGAAATTAGAACGTTAGAGAAGAAAAATATTAATAATGAAAAAAATGAGGGTTATTTTTTATTTGTAACAAGTAAAAAGATTATTATCAATTTCTACTACAAAAGAACCAATTGAGCTGATTGTTTACCTTATTTCGCGACTACCGTGTAACATTTCGAATACTTGTTTTGTTGTTCGAATTCATCGGGCGTATGGTCTATTTCCTCACATGGAATGGGTTTTCATGTATAACTGATGTGCTGTACATATCGACAATAACATTTTCCTTTTTCACAAATGTAAATCGTTACAACCGTAACGACCGTAACGATTGAATTGCCGAAATTGTGCTTATGTTTGATGGTTGCACAGTGTACGTGTTCTAAATCATAATCTTGATTTCGATTATAAAATAGCGTGGTTTCGAGATAATGAGGTTTTTTTTTCAAAGAAACTTGACAAGAGATAAAAATTCGAAAAAATAACCTATACTTTACACAGATTCTCTTACACTAACTACTACAACACATAATGAAGACTCATCTATATTATACTCTTGTTTTAGTTATCTTGTTGGCTATTGCCTCTTCATATGCTGCTTCCAATGATACAACAACTCCCACTCCCAACGAAGGTAACAGCACAGGTACAAAAGAGCCACCTACCAACAATTCAACATCAAAAGACCCAACTCCCGGTACCGGTGCAAACGCCACTGGAACAAGCGTCAATGCCAATGGAACAAGCGTCAATGCCAATGGAACAAGCGTCAATGTCAATGGAACAAACGGCACTGTAACAGCCGGTGGAAAAAACGCAACTAATGCCACTGGCGCTAGCAACAGTACATCATCATCATCATCAGGCTCAGGTACACCAGGTTCAGCAAGCACACCAAGTAACGGAACCACCACAAGTAAGAGCGGCGGCAGCAGCAACGGCACCGCCAGCGGCACCGCTAGTGGCAATGGTTTCGGACGATTCGAAAGCATCCGATCAGCAGAGGCTTTATTCACCACTGTCGCTTTACTCATGGCTGTCTTTGCATTCTTCAGCTTAGAATAAATAATAATATTCAGATAATAATAATAATAATTCTGTATTTATTATTTAAACTTTAATTATTAGACAATTCATACTGCTTGATATCTTGTCTTTAAAATGGCACTAACATTCAATGTATTTGATCCAGCGCCTCCTATATTAATAATGTACTTATTAGTTTTTTTTTCCTTATTGCTTAAACTAATTTAATGAATATGACCTTCAATAAAAATTAATTTACAAATAACAATTAGAAATTTTATTATTTCAAGAGGAAATCAAGTTAGTGAACAAGACGAATCTAATTGCTAATCTTGAACAATATCGTGCTAATGACTGTGCATACAGTATGTACATACATGTACTTTGTATTCAGTTAACGTTTAAGGTATATACAATGGCAGGCTGATTTCCACATGACATCATGAATGGTGAAAAGCATGCCAGAAAACAAGTTTAAGAATGTGGATTCTCTCAAGATTTACGGGTAACTCGTAAGACCACACGAATTTCCTTTTCGTGTGTTCATTTGTGTTTATAGTTGACCCATTACCAGAAAAGAAATTGTATCTAACCGCAATCAGGTTTCAAATTCTTAACTTTAATATGGGTGAGTGAAAATATGCATACAATAACCCCAGAGATAGCCGAACAAATATTTAGAGTTTTCATGACATGTCAACCCGCGGCTTGCGAAATAAAAAAATTCTTTTCTTCTGAAAGCAAAAGTACATGTACCCGTTTTTACAAGGTTTTATAGAACTTTATGATGAAAAATTTAATCTGGCAAGGACAAAAAATAGGGTTACTGACAAAAAGACTTTAAAGTTCAATCTTATAAAAGAAAGCAGACAAAAACCAGTTTTTCGAGTGTACTTTTTAGAGTAAGGGTGCAAGCGGGTAATTACAGTAACAAATATATTTAACAAGGAAAATGAAGCTTTAAAGTTCGATGGATACGTTGTACCAAAAAAATAGTTCTTCGCTGAATTTGAACTTCAGTGTACACTTATGTTCAAGCGTACCAATGATTTTGTTTAGGATCATAAATTTACAAATGTATCGACAATTGTTTTTGAAAAATTATACATGCATCTTTGATTTCGTATTTTTTTACGAGAAATAATAATCTATTATTGTTACTAAAGCGCAAAAGTTTCTTTATGTATTTTGAAAAGACCAAACCGATCACTTTGCTTGATTCCTATCTGTTGGACTTCTTTAATCATAGCAACAGGTCCACAAACAGCAATCGCAATATCACCTGACCCATGGTATTGTTTTATTTCATGGAGTAGAGTATTAAAAGAAGGTCTGCCTTGAATTAGTAGGGTTGTGTCAGCTGGAAGAATCTCTTTTGATCGCGTAACGAATATTTTGATATTGAGTCGATATATTTCTGTAGGTAATGAGGAAAATTTGTCTTGAACTTCTTGTATTTCGGATTCAAACCATGTGTATGAAACTATATGCAGCATTTAATCAATTAGCTTTGCTTTGGTATTTGTGTGTGTAGACAATTGATAACGCTAAATACATGTAAAGCTTACCAAGGTTAGGCACTGTCCATATAAAGAAAATTGATTGCGTTGTTATAGGAATGCCCGTAACTTGTCGATCCACAAGATCTTGCAGAAGACTCATAATGGGTGTAACACCAATTCCACCACCTATTAATACAACGGTCTTAAAATCTTCGAAATTCAAACTTGGCCGTCCGTATGGGCCTTCCACTCTCATCGTAATTGGCATTGGCAAATTTCCCTCGTTGGAAGACCTAACCAGATCAAACAGGCTCTCGGTAAAATCACCTGAAGCTTTCAAGTGTATCATGGCGTGATGTTGTTCGCCACTTTCTGTTAATCTAGGAGCAGAAGACAACGAGACAGGATGCCATTGTAATTTACTCAATTGTGGAAAGTGTACAAATACGTATTGTCCTGGTTTATAATTCATTTGTCGCGTGAACGTTACACGAGTGACGCCTCCTTCGAGCGCTTTTATACTAATAATGTTTGTTTCTTTGTAGCCAATAATGAAACGAATAATCCTGTCTATTATATAAAGTATGAATCCGAGAGACAACCAATACACATGGTTCCTATCATGCAAAAATGCAATTGCGAGAAACATAATAAAAAAGAAATGTCCATAATAAAACACTTCAAAGGCACGTCGTCGAACTAATGAGTGCGAAGTCACACCAATAACGAAAAGCCCGGTAAAAGAAAGAAATCCCGTTAAATTAACTCTATAAGTAAAAATCAGATCACCGATATCATGAGTGACCGTTTGCCAACGATGCGTAATATGGCTTCCACCATGGAACATTATCATAAAAATCACCATTCTTCCAACCCAACGATGAAAAGTGATTATGCGCTCGAACGGAATTCCCAACAAATGTACAAAAATTGAGTTACGAGTCGCCAACGGAAATACAAACGCAGCATTTGTTAAACCAATCCAGCCAAATCGATTATTTCGTAGCACAATGTCATGTGTCAGTTGATCTTCAAATGGTATGAATAGAAAAGCGGCATTGAGCCCTAAATAAATCGCAAGTAAAATAATTTCTTTGGTTGACATGTCACCAACGCCAATGATGTGTAACATATAATTCCAAAATTTATGATTCCAGACGGTAATTTGCCAATGTATTGGTATTAAATTTTCGTTATTTTCATTTTTTGTGTTTGTTTTCAATGATTTTGCTCGTGAATTATAGAATTTCTTAAGTAAGGAAAATTGATATGGAATAGCAAAAAGTATGATAATAATTATTGCTGTTACAGTTGAGTAATAGCCGGAAGCAAAATTTGGTAGAAACGACATTTTATACAGAGAAATACAAAAATTCGTTATTATTTTCGTTCTATTTAAACATAAACGCCAAAATCAATATCATAGTAATTATTGAAGCATTCGAAAATTCCTTAAAAAGCAGGTTACTCTGCATATATGTGCTACCGAAGCAACAATTTTCTATTGAAACCCCAAATTCCATAGTCTTATAATTAATTTGTTTTTTTCCCTAAAGAATCTTTTCCGAATATTATACCGAACAAATAAATACCGCTTCACTCTTAATTGACTTTTTTTCGAAGTGAAAGTGAAAACACCACCACTAGATCTTCAAAATATCATAAAAATAAATGATTTCAATCTGGACGCATCCAATCGCCTTTTTATCTTTTTTCCTAATTGAATTTTTCGCTTTATCTTCACCTCAACTAATCACATCGACCAATGTAACGACGAGCGACATTTATTTAAATTGTGCATATTATCTTCCGCCCGACAGGAGGTCGCTCGGATTTTTCGGAGACCATGCGTTATTTGTGATTTTGTTTTTTATCACATTGGGACTTTATATTCTGGGTGTGGTGATTGAATTTGTGCTGAATCGTCGTGATGTTAGAACTCGAAATATGTCAAAAAGCTAATTAGATTATATATTTATTTTGAAATCTTAAATCATGCACTTAATAAAATTTATTTTAAATCAATCGTAAATGCCATTTTGATTGAATATGTGATTGATATTAATTTTGAAGTAAAGAATCGACCGAGTTAAATTTCGTTTGAGCGCTTGCGATTCAATTCGATCCCTGTCTCTCTATTCTCCGAAACTCTTCAAATTCTTCATGTGTTTTAAAGATATTCTAAGGTGTTGCAATATTGAAAAAGCGAAGTGCTCGATTTCCAATCTTCATCGTAGATAGTTTCGATGAAATCATCAAGTTCCTCAGCCGTTGCTCTGTTCTCTGGAATAGGATTCCAACATTTTTCAATAGTAATTTTGCACCATCCGAGAATGTAATTTGGTACTCCTTTCTAATGACCCGCTCACTAAATGGTCGTACAATCTCGTATATAACCATTCCAACGCTATAACTCTGCAGCACTCATATAAGGATACACCACAAATTTCTTGGTTAGATTTTTCTATAGGAATTATAAGTCCGAAATCAGCAAACTTTAATAAATAACAAATGCCTGTAATAATTATATAATGTTAATAATGACAATGACAAGCTCCTGTTATAGAGTTTTGATCTAATAATATATCAAGCATATATCAAGATTTATTAAATATTTCGACTCACATTGTAGTATAAATAGGTTCCAAGAATAAATTCTCGTTTCAAAAAAGACGAAAATTCCTTCGCAGCCTCCTTCATTATTATTATCTCCTGACCACACAAGATCTCTCGTGTATAATTTGCGTAAGCTAAAAAAAATGCGATTTTCTGTCTGGAGTCTTTGCATTGACCTCATGTGTTACATCAAATACCTCGAAGGACTATTACTCGACTCTCGATACTTGACGCGTCTCAATTTTCCGGTTTCAGCAATTGTCACAAGTTTCATCGCAAGTATCTTCAGACGAATGACATGATGAAATCATTCGTCATCAACCTCTTCTAAAAAATGATTTTAAAATATTATTCATGTTTTATAATCAAGAAATTCGTGAACCTGACCAGCCAAAGTATTTTGTGTATATGTATCATCTATTTTCTATCATTATGAGTGCTATGCGAATAAAAACTATCAACTTTCTCATTAATCCAAAAAGTAATACATACAGGTTGAGTTGTTAAAAATCCACTTGTCAAGAATCCACTTATATATAAATATGTCTAAAATTTCAAATCCTAAGTTCGAGCTAATATTCAGTATGTTTGATAAAAATTTGCCTGAAAAAATAAATATTCTATACTGATATGAATATGATATTCAGAAAGAAGATCTTGAAAGACAGAAACAGTACCTCCTCATTCTCAGACTATCACTTTGACTCTGGCATCAACTTCAAGAGATTCGGCCTGTGTTCCTATTAAAATGGACAAGTTGCAGACTGGTCAAGAAGATTGTGATTGTTTATAGAAAAAAGCTCTGAGGTTTGTCTTCAACTTTATTGAGCTAACTTTCATATCAATAGCACAAGGCTTATAATTCTTACAGATGATAATCTAAGGGATAAAATTATTTTCTTGTAATTAAATCATTTATTTTCTTAAATTATCTATTTTTCAAATAAAAATAAGAATTTGAAAAATAAAAATAAAAGAGACAAGTGCAAATAATATAATAAGTCAAGAAAAAAGGCAGACTTATTTAGTAATAAATATTATAATTTCTGATTGACTATTATAAATAATTATATAATAATTATTTGTTACTATTTTTTATTAAGTCATAATTAATTGTAATTCAAAATTTATTAATTATAATTATATAATATATATTTATAATCTTATTAAGAATATTATTATTAACTTAATATAATTATTAAATATATATATATATTTAAATTCTTAGAAAATTTTTAATTCTAAAAGAGTTATATTATATTAATTTACAATATATTAGTAATCAATTATTATCATAATTATAAAACTATATATTTTTAAAATATTTCTTTAGCTAAAAATTAAATATAAAAGAGATTTATAAATAAATTATTATGAACTTAATAAATCTATTATATTATTATAAAATTAAAGATTAAATTACTATTTTTTAAAATATTATAATACAATAATGACTAAAAGTAATGACTCAGGGGCTAAATTTACTAATAAAATATAGTAAAAATTGAAATTTTCTTTCTATATTAAAATTTATAATTTTAATAAGAAATAAT